CAAAAATTGAAAATTCAAAAAATTCCCTAAGATCTTGTCATCAAGATAAGAAATCGAAAGGACAGAAAAGAGAGTGTAGTGAAAAATAAAGGGGGAAAGAAGAGGAGTCCACAGTGGAGTCCACAGCAAGACAAAGAAGGGGCACCTCCACTGTAAATACCCCCAATCTATATATAGGTGCCACAACTATTGAAAAACACTGGCCGGTCAGTATAGTGTCTGGGCACAGCACTAAGAGTAAAACAAAACCAAAATACTAATAAACGTGATGCTAAAAGGTGAGTATAATAACATCAAGATAGCCCAACGCGCGTTTCGGCGGACAAACCGCCTTTCTCAAGGGCATGGAATGCGACAAAAAATCCCCCACTCACATTCACCTGTTATAAGGGTCGTCTCTGCTCCTCCTACTAAATCATGAGGCGTGGTTATGGGCAGTCCACCAATGAGAAATGTCTATCGCTCTCCCATTCAAGTTGGGAGTGTTATGGTAGCCGCAAGTGTCCAAACCGCAAAGTCTGCGCATGCGCCAGGACTTAGAAAAAGTGTACATGCCGGCGGTGCAGGATGGGGAAAGTGTGTTGCGTTAGTCTGAGGCAGAATAAAGTTGCATGCTCAGGGTATAAGCGCTGGAACCATCCTGTACTACGAATACAACTAAATGTATAAAGTATTATGCTTATTCAAAACCGACAATATATACAGGCTCTCTCCAATTGCTCATTTCAGTCTGAACTACCAGAACATAAGTAAAATAGAGGTGTATCAAAAAAGAATTGATTTAGAACCCCATTAGCTCAACTCCATGAAGTGAGCATAGAGTAGCAAAAACCTAAACCGAGTGTAAAGTCCACTTAAACAAGGGAAATCAAGACTTGGCATACTAAATACAAGCCACAGGTGGGCAGTAATCTACTCAAATTTTAATCACGATTTAATATGCCTAGTAACGTAAATTATAAAGAACCAAATAACAGGCAGTCCCTAATCAATGCCAGTAGAGGAGGGGATGAAGAACATGGAGGTAGGGGACAAAAACTTAAATAGTCAAACCAAAAACAAAAAATCTTTTAATTCAATCAAATAAAATAAGCCAAAACAATATATACAAGCGGTACAAAAAATATTGTTATAATAGTTATGGATGGCAGGTAAAATAAATAAATAAATACTATATATGATCAAAAGAAGAAGGAATCCAGGTTGGAGTGTCTTCAATTCATATATCCACCCAGACTCCCTCTGTCTCAAGATCTTATCAAAGTCTCCACGACTTGGGTTTCTCTTAACTAATTCTAGTCCACAGAATCGAAGATTATTGGAATCACCATGATGGTATTCTTTCAAATGTCTAGAGATAGGTGTCTCGAGGTGATTCCTGGGGGACCTTACATGCTCCCTAATTCTATCCCTAAAAGCTCTAAAAGTTTTACCAACGTATTTTTGTCCACATGAACATGTCAACAAATAGACAAGGCCTTTTGTATTACAGTTAAAGAAACTCTTAATCTTAAAGGTACCTTGTCCTGTGGTATCACTCACTATCTTAGAGCCCTTAGAGATGTACTTACATGCTACGCACCTAACACACCCATATGTACCACAAGGAGGAATACCCAACCAAGTGGGACGTACATGTGATTTCGTAGTAAAGTGGCTTGGTACCAACATATCTCGAATATTACGTCCACGTCTGGCTGTGATATTAACTCGTGGACCTAAAACACCCTTAAGATGTATATCATTTAAAAGGATAGACCAAAATCTATCGAGGGACTTCCATACTTCTGCCCAACATGCGTCAAATGTCGCAATCATTCGGATGGTTCCTATCTCCCCACTCTCTTTCTTTGCATAATAGTTCCTGCCTTTCGATTTTAAGTGCTCTTTTATATGCTTTCTTAAGACAACGGTTAGGATAACCTTTCTCTTTAAAATGTAACCTCAGTTGCTTTGCTTTTATCTTAAAATCTTCAATGTCGCTACAATTCCTCCGGAGGCGAAGGTATCGACCAACCAGAATACCCTCCTTAAGGGGTCGTGGATGGTAACTCCTCCAATGCAGGAGGGAATTGGTAGCTGTTTGTTTCCTAAATAAGGTGAATTGAAATGTACCATCGTCTTTGATGGTAATCGTTACATCTAAAAAATTGATGGAACGTCCTCCAAATTCTGATGTAAAGCAGAGGTTTTCATCATTTTGATTAAGTAATGTCACCAAATTGGAAAAATCCTGAGGAGTACCTTGCCACACAATTTAGATATCGTCAGTGTAACGACCCCACCACAAAATCATTGGTAGGTAATCTGCAAGAATATCCAAAGTACGAATTTGGTGTTCCCACCAACCCAGGTGAAGGTTCGCATATGAGGGGGCACAAGGTGTCCCCATAGCAGTACCCCTCACCTGGTGGTACACTTTACCATTGAACAAAAAATAATTGTGCGACAAAATGAACATAAGAAGGTGTAAAACGAAAGTTGTATGTGAGTCATCCCTGCAACTTCTTTGGTCAAGAAAGAATTCCACATGTTTTATTCCCTTATCATGAGGGATGGAGGAGTATAGTGATTCTACATCTAAACTGCATAGTTGAACAGTGGGAGGAAATTTAAGACTCGATAGTCGCCTAAGAGCTTGCTTCGTGTCCCTAATATAGGAGGGTAGCGTTTCCACAAAAGGCCTCAATACTTTATCTATATACAAACTGCCATTTTGTGTCAAGTTATCAATGCCTGAGACAATTGGGCGTCCCGGAGGTTCCTCCAGGTTCTTGTGAACCTTAGGCAGGCAGTAGAAGGTTGCTATCTTAGGGTGACGGTTAAGAATAAATTCATACTCGTCACCCGACAGCAAGCCTCCACTGCGGCCCTCGTCCAAGATCTCCTTATATTTACACAGAAATTCATTTGTGGGATCACGTTTAAGCACTCTGTATGTCTCGGTATCCCTTAACACACGTTCTGCCATTTCAAGATATTTGTTCACATCCATAATTATGATGTTACCCCCCTTGTCAGCTGGTTTAATAATGATGTCGGTATTATTTTGTAATGATTTTAAGGCAAGTTGTTCCTTTCTAAGCAGGTTTGCACTTGAATGAATCTGAAGAGATTTAAGATTGATATTTTCTATTTCACTCTTAGCTGCTTCCAAAAATAATTCAAGGTTCCTAAACCCCGCAAAACTGGGGGTATAACGACTTTTTAATTTTTAGGCAGTACGTTTCTGGATAACATTCAGGTTCAGAGGGCCAGGAGGGTAGTGAGGGATTGGTAATCTTTTGAAATTACTGTTTAGTTAATAAGTGAGTGCGCTAGATTGTGTATTTTGTATTTTGGTCCCAGCAGCACCCTATAATGTATGCATGTTCAGGTGAGTGCAGCCCTTCTGACTTTGTTTATAATTGTGGGAGTCTCGGCCAACTCCTGGGTTTTGCACCCCTCCCTGTCACAGGTGCCTCATTCCAGGACCCTATTTAGCCTTGACTTGCAGAGAGTCCCAGTAAGGAAGCATTTCCCAAGTAAGTGGATTAATCTCATAAGAGCAAGCATTAGGCTGTAGTGTAGGACCTGCCGAGAATGGGGTACATTGATGGTGTGGCAGGCTTATGCAATGTATGATCATATAATGTAACCAAACCCCCATTATTTTTTACCTAGGTGAGGTGTTTATAAATAAAGCTATTTAGGATTTGAAATCACTGTTTAGTTAATAAGCGAGTGCACTGGATTGTGTAATATATATATATATATATATATATATAAAGCAAATAAATAATAAGCACTCCCAGGATTTGTAAATAAGCGAAAAAATACTTTACTCCATAAGTCAACGTTTCTCTTGGGAGCTTATTTTGTTTATTGTTTATATATATATATATATATATATATATATATATATATATAAACACTATTTAGTTGATATCCTGGCGATCACATGTTCCAGAGGGCTGAAGAGGAAGGAGGGGGAATCCCTAGGCTCTCAGGTGAGTCCCCACACCACACCGGGTAAGTACATAGGACGGCTTGGGCATTCTATGCCGCCCGCCGGCGTTTAGAGCCGGGTCCCCAAGGACGGCATAGAACGCCCACCGTCCTTAAGGGGTTAAAATAATACTATAACATTAGGAATAAAAACCTGTTTTCCTAATGTTAATTTGTCCCTAGTGGTATTAGGTGACCCCTCCTAGAGGAGAATTGGGGATCTAATGTACATATGCGGTAAGTTCTGAGTATGCATTCAAACTTCCTCATAGGAAAACATTCAATCAGTGCTTTCCTATGGGACTTCCAAGTCACGTGACCAAGTTTTACCCAGACAGTCCAGTGGGAGCACTTCTAGTGGTTGTCGTACTAACAGCCACTAGAGGTGGACTTAACCCTGCAATGTAAACATTGCAGTTACCCAAAACACTGCAATGTTTTACATTGCAGACTTAAGAGGACAGGGACATTGCACCCAGACCACTTAACTTAGATGGGTGAGGATTTCCTGAGCTCACAATAAGAACAATGCAATAGCAAATATTATTAAGAAAGTGGCAAAAATATGGACAGGGGTCAAACTCCACCTACAGCATTTAACTCAATATCCTCTCTCTAGAGACCCCACCTCCTGATATATTATACTTGTATAACATATTAAAATAACTGTAAAAGGACTGCATTCGTTTAATACTTTGACTGCATGGGGACAAGGGCCGCACATTGCAAAGAAATATGAGTAGAACACCCCTAGCACTGAAAGGGTTAAAAAACATATTAGGTGGGGGCGTGGTTTGAGCCTTAACGAAGATGGCCCTCTGATCGCGGATTTCCATGCCACTAAGCAATAATAAGTGCTTCCACTAAGCACGGGACCCCTCAAATGGGACACAACAAATACCCAGATGTGCCCCGGATCCCCAAGGAGGACCATACAAACACTAATTCCAGCCCGATGGATGACTACCTCCACACCCCATCAGGGGCCAGCACGAGCCGCACATGGCGCTAAAATGGCGTCTTCCTCACCGATCTCCTCCGAGCTCTCAGAAGCAGGGGGCCCCATGCTCGCAGATATCAGGGCAGACAAGAAGCTAACAGCCACTATGGTCACTAAAAAAGACCTTCAAAATCTGACTGCTTCTCTCCACGAGTCCATCGCCAAAGCGGATGGAGGTGATGGCGCACAACACCCGCCTGGAGGCCCTTGAAACCCATGTGCAGACTTCCAACGCATACACAACAGCTACAGATACGGCACTCTCCAGACAAGGGTCAATGTTACTGGCAATAAGACAGCACACAGAAGACCCTCATAATAGGACCAGACGCTCCAACATGAGTGAGGGGAGTGGGGGAGCCCCAGGGGGATGAAGACCCAAAAAGTTTACTCACCGCATTGTTCCAGATGATATTAGGAACAGAGAGCCCGGACCTCATCCCATTCGAAAGAGCACGCGAGCACTCTGCCCGTGCACGCCCGCAGGCCCCCCCAGGAATTGATTTGCTGCCTCCACTCCTACCAGCTTAAGGAGAGGATTATGCAGAGGGCACGGACATGCCAGATATGCCATTTCAAAGGTTCGGACGTAACCATCTTCAATGACCTCTTCCCTCTAACACTAGAAGCTCTGAGAGCACCACGTCCTGTAACACTAGTACTGAGTGACAAGAACATCCCTTATAAATGGGGATTCCCCTTTAGCATCCAGGCAAAATACCCAATGGCCAGAAGAGATTCCCACCTTCCTCCAAAGATTGGAGATGCTGCCTATGGAGGTGCCGAACTGGGTCCTGGGACCCCTAGATACGCAGCCCTGACCTGCCACAATCACCATGCCACCGATGCCGGTTGAGCTCCCCGACAGGGCCCACCCACCAACAACCAGAGCCAGATGCCTCAGGAGAATAGGATCCAGCCCACGCCGTGCAAGACTGTCCTGAACCCAGGACCACTCACCGACCTCCCTGACCAATAGCAGCATACAGGTACTCTTACAAACACTCGGGACTGGGCCCACTGGGATTGCCCTCACCAACTGACACCCTCTTCCCCGCCTGACCACACTCACCAGCCTTAAACCTCGTACCAATGGAGAACTGATCCCCCCCAGCTCATTGAACCTCAAAGTTGAAGCCCTCACCCTACCTCACCAGCCCGACAACCACAGGAATGCACCCACACAGATGCGGGATCTAACAGGGCAAAGCACGGATCTAGAACCATTGACACTAACCCACTTACTTGGCAAGCACCCACTGGCTTAGCACCAGCCCAAGGGCCACACCCCTTGGCACACCCACAGAGGCCAATATACTGCATTGCAGAGCGAGTACCCTCACCCCCACTTTCACTGACTGAACCTGACCATACGCATCCACTCCCTATCTCCTGCCCCGAACTATTGTTCAATACCGGCATCACACAGCTTTGGGTGGGGAGAGGGATTATTGGGGGCAACACGGGAAAAGCCGCATTGAAGGACCATAACACTACGGACACACAACAGCGGACCCCTACACGCCGAGGACACTTTTGTACTGGACTGTTGCTCTTGGGGGGGTGGGAGAGGGGCAGGGGGATGTATTAAAAGTGAGCAGATACAACGCGCACACAAATACCAGAAAGAGCTAACCATATCATGCACTCACCAACAACGTAACACCGGAGGGGGATGGCATATGGGAAAGTAGTGAACCCCTAATAATGGGAGTGGATGGTGAGGGGAGTGAGGGGGGAAGGGAGAGGTAGGGGGACAAACACACAAAACAAACAAAAGCAAAAAAAAACCTCTCTCATGGTACCTTGAGTTTCCCTCTATCTCCCACGATTGAAGCCGTCTGGGGGGCACCACTTTGACAAACACAGGCGATTACACCCTGCACACGACAGCCCTCCCCCAAACAGCCCTACCCCTGCTGACTAAAGTGGCAGTAAAGAAGGCACCCCCTCACCAGTTGGAGGCACTTAGAAGATACACAGGGCACATCGGGCGTCCCACGGGAGGGCTTCAGTACACAGCAAAGTAAACAGATAGTAACTTAGATGGAAAACATTAGTCATATACCAGTGGTCGCGGATCACACGATCAGTTCCTAGGACCCTACTAACTCATACTTACCCTTCTACTGACCCTACTAATCCTACTTACAACCGGGTTGAGCTCGACCGCAGTCCCCAACCAGAGTAAATTGCGTCCCTGCGGGGCGGTTGCTGATTTAACCCTATAGGGCATAGCCTGGTAGGGTTGGATGCCAACTGTTCCCGCAGTTACATGAGCACCTCCCTTTGCGGGAGGTCTACCTAACCCCGGTTGGAGACCCTTAGGAGTCCAACGGATCTCACTCACTTCACCTCTTATCTACTTACTACTTCACTTTTTACCGTATCACCCCACCACTTGTTCTACTGGGCTCGCTGGGCTGCCCCTCGCCCTTGGTACAGGTGGGGCATAGTAGAGTGAACCCTCCTGGGTGACACTAACCCAGATAGATTGAGGGATCTTTGGCTCGGCACAGCGCCCCTGCGCCCCTGCGCCCCTGCGCTGAGATGCGATAGCCCAGGGTCTTCAGGGAGGGTCATCAGAGGCCAAGCCAAGCGACACGTTAAAGAACTGGTTGACACAATTTATACCCTAGAAACACAACATAAGCGCTCCCAGGTCGCCTCGGTATACAAAGAACTCCTAGATGACCGGGGGTAATTATTAACACTGTTAACAAACCAACACTACAGATCAGCACAACGTTCGAGGTGCTTGTTCTACCTCCACGCTAACAAAGGAGGATGAGTACTAGCACGCATGCTCCGAGGACTTCAGACACACGCACAAGTTCATCAGATCAGGACCAAAGCAGGAAAGATGACTCTAATGCTGGAGGAGATAACATTGGAGTTCTGGACATTCTACACTACTCTCTATAATAACACCCACACAGGGGGTGAGGGCAATGAAAGCACTGGAGAGCAGGAGCGAAACAATTTCCTGGAGACTTATGTCGCATCCACACTACAGGCAGACGCAGCGACACTTGAAGTACCTATCACGGAAAACAAACTCCTGGCGGCGATCAAGTCCACTAAGACCGGAAGAGCCCCGGGCCTGATTGACTCACTCTGGACTACTACAAGAAAAACAGTGCAACACTGATTCCGAAACTTGCCAAAGCACTCAACATTCTGACAGCTGGAGGTCGCTTCCATCAGGAATCGCTCTCAGCTATAATCACCATCATACCCAAACCGGGGAAGGATCCAGGGGCATGTAGCAGCTACCGGACAATCTCCTTACTCAACATCGATGTGAAGCTCCTCGCAAAAGTCCTCATGGTCAGACTGGGAGTGAGGCTCCCAGACCTAGTTCACCCAGATCATAAGGAGTTCATTCCGGGCAGAGAGGCACGGGACAGCACACTATGGGTGCTCTCTATCCAATACTTGGCACGCAGGACAGGAGCACCGTTGCTTCTCAGGCGTTTGACTGAGTGGACTGGTCCTTCCTCATAACAACACTCCACAGATATGGATTCGGGGACAAGTGAATGAACTGGATAGGAGATCTATATGATTCCCACGAATGCAAGAGTGAACAGGGCCCTGACGGACAGATTCCCAATAAGTAACAGGACGCAACAGGGATGCCCGCTATCCCCGCTCCTGTTTGCGCTATTTTTGGAACCCCTTTTGGAGGTGGTGCGATGGGGCAGAGAAGTCAAGGGATTCCACTGGAACGGGAAAACTCACAAGGTGGGGGAATACGCTGATGACTTAATGTTCTTTGTTAGTGAGCCACGGACTTCTATACCACGACTGCTCGAACTTCTAGAAACATATGGGGCATTGGCTGGGTTTAAACTCAACCTCTCAAAATGTGAAGTCCTGGGCGTAGTCATTTCGGCAGAAGAGACAGAAACCTTACGCTCACAACTGCCCTTTCACTGGTGCTCCACACAAACAAAATACTTGGGGATATGGTTAACAACTAACCTCTTGTACCTATATCAGAAAAATGTCATACCCTTACTACATAAGATACAAAAGGACCTCGAGAAATGGCATTACCCACACGTCTCCTGGCTTGGACGCATAGCAATAGTCAAAATGAACATCCTGACGAGACTCCTTTACCTCTTCCAGACTATACCTCAAGTCTTGCCCATGTTGTTCTTCACCTCCCTCCGCACATCGGTACTGAAATATGTATATAGGAACAGAAAGCCCCGAATACGACACAAAATACCATGCCTACTAGCACCCCCGAATTACCTCAGATATCATCAAGCTGCGGTACTCCAAATAATGCTGGAATGGCACACAGCTCCACAGCAAAAACTTTGGACAACATTGGATAAAGACAGCATAGGACACTCCCTGAAAGCAACTATGTGGAATATCAAAAAAGTACATCTGGATAGATTTACTCAAACATACCTGGCAGCCGGGACACTGAAAATTTGGGAGGCAGTCCGAGGGGCTCCCCATGTCTCTCCAAAACCCAGCCTGATGATACACATGACAAACAACCCTCTTCTGGGGGAGGATTACAACAACAACCTTGGGACATCTGGGGGGAGGGAGATGACATCCCCATCCGCAGAGCACTCCAAGCCACAGGATCACGTCCACTTACTGAACTTCTAGACGGCAAGGCAACAACACCTCTGCAAAACTTCAGATATTCACAACTCAGACACTTCCACCATTCGATCTCAAACAAAGCCGCAATTCATAGAGAACTTACCTGGTTAAGACCTCCCTCCATCACGACAGTAGTTTAACAACACCCAGGCACAAATCGAAGTGGTCCCAACTGGAATTGGGGGACGCCAGGTTAAATAATCACCATTCAAGGTGACAGGGACATACCAAGCCAAACTTAGGAAGCTCACCCTAAACCAACGTAGGTGAAAAGGGTACTAGCTGTGACGCACACAGAAATAACCACTACCCACCAATTGTAACATGAACCACACATAGAGAACCTTCCGTATCCGTTTGAAAACACAGCACACATGACCAACAATGACACACTCATGTAATTAGACACACCACTGAGCTGATACAACAACAAACACTTAAATCCTATCGGCAACTTTGTAATCGCAATGTATGTCATATCAGAATACTTACTTAAAGGGACACTATAGTCACCCAGACCACGTCAGCTCAATTAAGTGTTCTGGGTGCCAGGTCCCCCAGGTTTCAACCCTT